TTGAAGAGGTCTCACAGTACAGGCTGGAAGACCAGTTAGAAGGGCATTGCAGTAATCGAGGCGGGAGATGACAGTAGATTGCACCTGGAGCTGGGTGGCATGTTGTGTTAGGTATGGTCTGATCTTTCGTATGTTTTACAGCGCAAAGCGGCATGAATGGGCAACAGAGGCAACATGATCTTTAAAGGTCAGGTGTTCATCAATCACAACACCCAGATTTCGAACTGCCTTTGAAGGAGCCAGAGATAGGAAGTCATTCTGGATTGAGATATTGTGCTGTATGGATGGTTTTGCTGAGATGACAAGTAGTTCAGTTACACGTAAGGTTAAGCCACATGACACATTGCTTTTACTGATCCAATCAGAATCTTCCAGATCTGATGGAGGCGTGGTTTTGGTGGTGCTTGGTAAAGCTGTCCCTTTTTGATTCGACCGTAAATCAAAACATCCAAATTATAAAACTATGCCCACATCATCTTAAACTACAGTTCAAAGCTTTCTAGAGAAGTTGTTGGAGCGGCCAATCCGTAACTTCCTCTTCAGCTGAAAGAACCAACGACAAGCTGGATAAATCTGTTGCTGTTCCACCAAGCAACGGTTCCTTTCAGAATAAAAGCTGAACTCACTGACCCTCTGGGTCCATCTGACGCTGTCAACCAACTGTCGCTTTTACCTGGAGACAATCCAAAGACTAGTCTGTCGTACAGCTGACGCTGTTTCATCGGCTCCGGTACCGAAGGGGGGGTCCGAGGACCTGGCATTCTGGATCTGTACGGAGGTCTCATCCTAAGGGTATGTGTGGAGCGACAAAATGGCGTCTCATGTGTTTATAAATCTCCTAACCAAAGCTTAGCACGAAAACATCATCTTCACTCCCATCAGAACTAATCGTTTCTCCAGATTTGCTGGTTCTGAACAACATTCCACACTACACCATTCTCCGTCTCACTTCACCTTAGTTACACCATACATTTAGTGTTTAAAGTTAGTCCAGTTTTAATTTGTTTAGTAATAAATCTTTAAACTTTTAAAACTTGACTCTCTTTCTTTTGTCTCTGAGTTAATACGAAGTGGTTACATAATCCCTGCAATATAAAGTTCCAATCTTCTGGTTTAAGTTATCCAAAGATCCATAAGATTGATTTCATATTTACTATGGAATCTCACATTTTATGGTTCATTAAATAATATGTAAATTTAATCGTTACAGTCCAATAAAACTTTTGTTGGAGCTATTTATACTTTATTTGTTATTTTTGTGTAATTCTTTAAATTTGTGATTAGTTGACTTTGTATTTTTTGAAGCATTTATAAAGTTTATTTGTAGATTAATAGTTGTTTGGTTTGTAGTTCGTTTTGTTGTTTACCTTTGTAAGTCAGTCAGGAAAATTCACCGGGTCATTTTGTATAAGTAGGCACTGGTATAGGACCAGCATGCACTGGGGTGGGCGTACGTTTTTTTACCAGAGCAGGAAAAGCAGCAGGAAACAATGGAAAACAGGATCTGTTTTATTGCTTGCCAATCTGGAAAATAAACCTTGAAGAAAACACAGCTTTCAAGTTTGGACTTTGAACTTATTCTGCCCGAAACGTTACCACAGTGCAGCAGTGGCTTTTAAAGTTGGAAAAATGAGGTGAGTTGACAAACAAAGGATCCACCACTACAACTTTTGATTTTGAATAGTTGGCACGGTAATATGAAATAGCTATAAAGCAGTTGTTTGTGTCTTGCTGAGAGCAGCAACGACTTTTTCATCACGCATTGGAGATCCTGACTCATGCTGAAGAATGTTGAAGCTGCAGCTAAAGCAGCTAATGTGTGTTTACAATTAATCAGGACTTGTTCACTTGTGCGCCGTACACTCACCAGCTGCTCCTGGCTCTTCATCTGCTCCTCGGCTTGCCTGGCCAGCTCCTCCTTGGCAATTATGGCCTCCATCCTCTCAGCCTCCAGCCGAGCAGCCTCCTGCTCCACCCTCCTCCTCTCCTCCTCCAGCCTCAAGGCCCGCTCCAGCTGCTCCTGAAGCTCTGCAGGACCGAGTCGGCACACAGGAGAATCTGTTATGCTCTATGTGGTGCATTCAGGACGGGAACCTCTGATCTGCTTCGGTTTTGATGACTTTTCATTTCAAGTCTTGTTTCTTCTTTCAGCCACTTTGGAAAACTTTAAAAGCAGCTGTCTGAAACTTTAACGGGTGTTTTAGTTTTATCTGTACAAACAAAAATGCATGCTGCCATGATTTCATATCACAGAACATTTCTCATTCATTAACAAATAAGTTTCTTTAGACATTTTTAGTTGGAACTATGTGATGGAAATGACCTTCACTAACAGCTAGAAACATTTTAATGTTCAGTGTTTTAGATGATGAGTGAGCAGCAGAGGGCAGTAGAGTTGTTTACTTTCGCAGGGTTTCTCAACCTTTTTCAGCTAAACACCCCCCCAAGTCATGCTGAAATCCCTTACTGCCCTAGCCTGGCCTGCTAGGCACCTCCTCTGTTCAATTCTGCACAGAGGAAGAGTCTGGGAACTCTCCAATTCAAATAACACCACCCCTTGAGAATTCTAACCAAGCCAATCAGTGCTGAGTCTATCACACACCACAACGCCGTGTTTATCATAAACATGGTGACTTAAGTGGAGTTTGCTGCGGCTCGTTCCTTTGTTCTAAATTATTTGAACATGTCTTTAAAAGTACAAGTAGAAGCGCTAAAAGCATTTCTTCTAAACAAAGATGTTTGCGCTGTCGCCAAACTCCCATTTTTACTACAGCTAAAAAAAAAACTACAGCGTCGCGGACGTCACACACAGCGATGCTCAGCTTCTCATAAACAACAAAGACAACAGCGGAGTTCGCTGCGGCTTTTTCCTCTGTTCTAAATGACTAAGATGTTCTTTACTACAACTAGAAATCTACCGCATCGTGCGGTACAGTCGGGATTTCCGTCTTTTTTCTGATTGGTCATTTTTTTAGCTGCCTAGTCCCGCCCCTCAAGTGCCTTTCTGCCTGTGAGTTACCAGACTTATCCTCTGTTCAGAATTAAACAGAGGACGAGTCTGGCAGGCCAGGCTATTACTGCCCACCAATGTCCCATGCAGAGAAACGGAAAGTTTTTTGATACAAAAACCATAATTAAAAATAAAAAAATTCAGCCTTGAGTTTGAAACAGCTTCATACAAATATGTCATAAAAAAAAGTATCATAAAAAATTTTTTTTGCTATTAGCAACAAGATATAGTAGCAAGCTAATAATCCTCGGTCCAGTAAATTCGAGCTTCAAGCAAACATACTGCTAATGCTACCTCTCTTAGAGGGTCTCTCTTTAATTACCTGAAAATAGTTCAGTTTCTTTGAAGCTTTGTCTGGATGCATTTTGGACAAGTGCTCCTTAAGCCGGGAGGGTTTCATCGCTTCGTTTTGTAAAACTTGTTCACAAAGCAGGCACATGAGGAGTTGTGGATTCGTGGGTGAAGGAATAAATCCATACCGAAGGTAGTCCACATTGTACTGTCAACACTTCTTTTTTTTTTGAGCCATTGTCTGTTATGAATGTCCTGTATCGCTAGCGCCCACCATTAGCATCTCAGCGCCCCCTTCAGTTGCAAAAAACTTTCACCGCCCCCTTATATAGTCTGAATGCCCACTGGGGGGGCGCTACAGCCCCCGTTGAGAAACCCTGGTTTACAGGAACAATAAAAATGAACCTTTGGCATAAATAGAGCAAACATAAAATTATCCCATATCAGAAAAATAATGAAGAACCTGGTGTATTTGTGACAGAGGAGGATCAAGTACAGGCCATCAAGGGGCCACAACATTAAAGCTGCTTTCCAGAGTTTTCTACTTTCAGAAATGATGCATGATTTTTCAGAAATCCGTAAAAGTGATTATCTTTTCATGTACTGTGATAAAATGTAAGCAATACGTCTTTATTTTATTTTATTTTATTTTTGCTAAGCACGTCCCCTGCCCTGCAGAGCTCTATGCAATAGGAAACTGAGCGTCGACCAGAACTAACCAATAGCGTTAGACTACCACTTACTTGCTTCAAATTTAAGGAATACCTTGGCTGATGCAGAGTTGATGAATTTTTCATGGACAAGAAAGTCTTTAAAATATAAATATATGACAACACAACAGACATGAGAATAATACTTGTAAAACTGCGTTTTTTAGCTCCGTTTGTCGGCTAAGAAGCACATTTATAAACAAGAAACGTGAAGTCGCCATCTTAAAAAAATAGAGCGACATACTTTTTGTGTGATATGCTTGTCTGCCACTAGATGGTGTCATCAAATAAGAGAAATACTCCAGAAAGAGACTTTAATAGGGAGTCTATACATAGGAATCACAGGTCCCTTACTGCCAAAAAATTAACGGGAGTCTATAGAGGGAAAATGTTTTGATCCAGTTTGATATGCACCATGGATTTAACACATGATATCTGCAAACACATTTGATGCCAAGAAATAGCTCATTTTCAACAGGCAGCAAAATTAGTTTTAGCACTGGGAATCGATACTAACCGCAGTCCATTCCTCCTCTATATGCGCTAGACATATTCTTTTACTATGTAAGATTCTCTTCAGAGTCCATTACACAAATTCATGATTGGCAAAAATTTACCCCGAGGTGAAGGATTGCTGCAATAGATGTAACCTCGCGCCTGCTAACCATACGCAAATGTTCTGGTCTTGTTCAAAATTAACCAACTTTTGGAAGCAAGTGTTCAACACATTTTCTATGGTTTTTCAATTGTCTATGGTCCCAGAGATATGCATAGCCCTATTTTGGACTGCCCTGGACAGCCCAGAATATGCCCCTCTGGGGAGGTGGCGGGTGATGGCGTTCACAACCCTTGTAGCCAGACGTCTCATTCTGCTCAACTGGAAGCAACCCCACCCGTCCACTCATAACCAATGGCTTAAAGATGTACTAATACACATACAACTGGAAAAGATCAGATATTCCCTATCAGGTCGAGTAGGATTGTTTAAGAAAATCTGTCAACCATTTCTTGATCATTTGGACAGATCTGCGATCATGCAAAAAGAGAATGAACCAAGATGACCAGGATGGGCCAAAAAGGGAAAAAAAAGGAAAAATAAAGAAAAAGAACCAGGAAAGAAAGATTGATATGGGCGTCTCCCCCACCCCCCCTCCTTTTATTTTTTATTATTTTAATTTTTTTTATGCTTTGTTTTGTTTTGTTTAAGTATCTAGGGAAAGGAAAGTTATTAGTTAACTTACTGCAATTTGGACTGCACGATGCATCATTGGAGCAATGTGAATAATATGTGCAACAAATGTAAACTGTCATTTATGTGTTCTAAAGCAAAAAAAAAAATCAATAAAAAAAAGATTTTAAAAAGTAGTTTTAGGTTTTGTGTGAAAACACGTGTAGGACTCCAAATGCTTGTCTCACCAAACTAACGTCATCGAACGAGGCACAGAGAAGAAAAATGTCTGTGAGTAGGGATGGTAGGGATGCAACAATACCACTTTTTCCCTCTGGGGAACGCCGGAGAGAACCGGAAGGGGAGGAGGGCCAAGTATTTGTCTCATTAGTGCCACTAGTGTCTGCACTTGGAATTGCATCCACATGTAATCTCAGGACAGGGGCACTTCAGAGGATCAGATTTCAGCAGGGGCCAATTCCCCTGTGGCCCCGCCTCTGATTCAGACTTAATGTGAGATGTGGTTCTTCTCACCTCTCTCTGCTCTCTTGGTCGTCTCTTCAAACTGGTTGAGCTTCATCATCAGCTCCTGCTTTTCTCTTTCCATCTGCTCTTTCTCCTTCTCAATGGCCTCCCTCCTCTTCTTCTCACTGTCCAGCTGATCTCTACAGGACACACACACGCACACGCACACACGCACACACACACACACACACACACACACACACACACACACGCACACACGCACACACACACACACACACACACACACGCACACACACACACACACACAATAACTCCATTTCACCCTTGTCAGTCCACGTCCCTGACCTAAATTATGGGCATTCTTCATCTTGACCCACCTCTCCATCTTTTTCTGGAGCCTCTCCTGTTTGGCCTGAGCCTTCATCTGTTGAACCTCGATGGTGTCGGCCTTGCGACGGCGAATGTACTGGGCGTGGTTGCCCATGCAGAGCTGCAGGATGCCCTTGTTGACACGGAGACGAGGAGCGTAGAATACAAAGTCCTTCAATAACAAATGGAAAATAGCTTTGCTATGGTGGGTCTGTAATTTATAACATGCCAAATTCATACATTCATGCATAACAGGATTTGTTTTTACATTCATGGTAAATACCTACAGGAGCTTTCTTATCTATGGGCTTGATAACAAATTTCTTGTCATTGAAAGAAATGTTCCTGATTTCACTCCATGGAAACCCGATCTTTGGAGTGAGCCTGAAAAACAGAAAGGAGGCAATGAAAAGAGCACGAACGCACCAGTTTAACCCTTTAAAGCTACAGAGTTTTCCCTCTTTTGGGAATTTCGTGTAACATTTTAGAAATCCGTAAAAGTATTGTGATATTATGAAGGCAATACATCTTATTTTCTAAGCCTGTCCCTCGTCCCATAGAGCCCCATGCAATTTGAACTGAGGACCACTCAGCATTAACTAATAGTGTTAGACATCCGCTGACATTCAGACGTCAATCACAGAGCATGTGGGAGCATTTGAGGACGTCCCTAGACACATGCAGATTTGGAGACATTTCTCATGGACAAGTAACTCTTTAAAATGAAGGAATAAACAGCACAACGTGAACATATCTCTGTGTGCCGGCTAGAGCCGTGTGTTCACGAATGAGAGGCGTTGATTTAAAGGCACAGTCCGCAACTTTTACACCTTAAAATCAAGGTCAAAGAGATTTGATTTCATGAGTGACGTTACGCAGCAAGCCTAAAGAGGGCGACAGAGAGCATATAGCCACAAGGTTCAGGAATGTGTCTTTAATCCATAAATCTGGAAGTGCTGAGAATGACTTAAGGTGCAATACATGTGTCTGCTTCTAGATGAGGCCGCCAAATAAAAAAAAACTCCAGATTTCTGCTTTGCTATAGGTGAACCACTTGCTTGGTAGACCCCCATTGAGCCTCATATTGAAAATGATAAGTGCCTGTATTTATAAAGCGCCTTCCACAGTCCTATGACCCCCCCACCACCACAAGGAACCTTGCACCATAGTCAGTCATTCACCCCTTCACACACTGATGGTGATGGGCTCCATTGTAGCCAGAGCTTCCCTGGGCTCACTGACAGCCTGTCCTTCCGACCAGCAGGCAAGGAGGGGGAAGTGTCTTGCCCAAGGACATAAAAACTGCAACAGACTGAGTGGGGCTTAAACCTGCAACCCTATGGTGAAGGAGTGAGCACTTAATTCCTCTATCACATTCACACTGAAGAGGAGAGAAGGAAGAGTGGGGTCTAGTTGTTTCTAATTGTTTAGTTTCCCTCCACACAACAAAGCACGCAGTTATTTATTAGATCCTTTGTCTTTTTGACTTCATGATGTTGGTGAGGATTTACTCAGGCTGAGATTTAGACACAAACTAAAAATGATGATGCTTAATCTTCTGGCTTGTTATCGGCTCTCAGCTCAGAGTCAAAACGTCCACTGATGTAGTGAAAATCTGCTGGCTGACTAATACATGTCAGGATGGTTGTTACTCACTCTGGGACTCATCCAAATCCCAAACTCTCCAAAACTATGTCAAACTGGAACAATTAGTTCAATCCCCCAGTCTCAAGTTTGACCACGGAGACTGTGTGTGTGTGTGTGTGTGTGTGTGTGTGTGTGTGTGTGTGTGTGTGTGTGTGTGTGTGTGTGTGTGTGTGTGTGTGTGTGTGTGTGTGTGTGTGTGTGTGTGTGTGTGTGTGTGTGTGTGTGTGTGTGTGTGTGTGTGTGTGTGTGTGTGTGTGTCAGGGGTAAACACATGCTGTAGTGGCATGGGTCAATGGCCCCCTATAAACATGATCCATGTGATCAGTTGTGTGATTTAAAGCTGGACTGGGGGGACAGGGAGGACAGCTGGGGTCGATGACTGAGGTTTGAGTGCCCTCGTGTCCACAGCTGTAGATGGTCAGGTCTGGGAGCATTCCATTTCTGTTACCTCAGCCATAACATAGTCTAGTAATGATGGAGGTGAGCTGAGTGTTTCACCTGTCCTCCTTGGCGTAGATGTTGAGCCCCAGAGCGTCCACACCCAGCCACAGATCAGTGCCCTTCTTGTTCTTAATCTCAAAGTAGTTGATCCCAAACATCTCCAGGTCCTGGGCGATCTTTAGGTACTCGACTATGGCCTCTTCCCTGTTCAGACAAAGGATCACAATGGGCTCCTGTTTGTGTTTGACCTCAGTGAGCACATATTCAGATTAATACCACAAACATCAACAGTCCTGTAGAGACTTGATCTTGAGACATAAAGGCAGACAGAAGCTGGTTTGTGTAGAAATGTGTTTCAGGTAACCTTTTAGAAACGACAAAACTTGTGAAGAAATCCCAGTTTTCTGAATTTTCTCTTACTTGAGCATGGATCTGTGCTCCTCGTGCCAAACCTGGATCCTGTCTTCCCACTGATCCTTGGACAGCTTGTGTTGATCCAGCACTCTGAGAGGAGAGACAGGCTGTCAGGAAGCCACTCTTCTGAAAATGTGACCAGTCTGTGTCTACACACGGACTTCAGTTAAACACCAACGACTTCGTTTCTAGCAGAATTTAGCTCAGAAACTTTTTTGTTGGCTGATTTATGGAGATTTGGCTGAATGGATTAAAAGTTAGATTTTTCTGTTTGTGTAAAGAAAAACAAACAGATTCTACTTCTTAAAGTACCTCTACTTTTATATTTTATTTATGAGTAAGTGGACTTAAAGTGAAAGTATGTATTTTTCCTGGCAATGGGGGGCAGTAGATATCTAAATCGCTGAAAGCAAGCAGTATTTTTGTGTTGGAGTAAGACATTAACAACAGATGCCCATAAAGGTCAAAAAGCCCTGGGGAGTGCTAACTTTAGCAAAATAACAAGCGCATCAGACTCCCTTTCATCACAGGGAACAAGTGAAGAGGTAAATATGTAGAACAACATTTAAGAATGACGAAAGTTTTGTAACCGTTTGTTACAAATCAGTAAATGCATTTTGTCCTCATGGGCTCCCGTAGAAAGAAACATGGCATCTAATATGGCATCACCCAGAGACTTAGGGGTGTTTCTCAATGTCAAGGCACCTGGCCTTACGAGGCGATGTCTTGCGAGGCCAGGCTCCTTGCTTGTGAGGACACTGTCCTTCCTTAGTCAAAGAAAACGGTTACCGTAAATGGAACAGACTTGCATCTTGTGACCGCGGCTTCCACGGCAGTCCCGTAACGTCATGTGACACGAGAGATAAAGTTATATTTTTCACGTAGTAGTTTCAATTTAAATGTATAACGAGCCTTTTACTTTTTAAATTGTGTATATGTTTGTTAAATTAAATATGTAAGTGAGTTACTACCCGCTAGCCACAGAAGCTTCAACTAATAAGCAACTAACCGACCATAGATAACTTCTTTGGATCTAAAAAAAAAACATTTCAAATGAGTTGACTCATTTTTAAACTTGAAATTTGCCCCTGAAGTAGCTGCCGGCTTCTGATCAGTCATCCTTTTGAAAATACTGCGGTGTATTCAGGATAATTTTTGACCAAGGCTAGGCTACAAGACACCTCTTGTGTATCCTTGCTAGCTAAACGGCTAACAAATGGAGAACACACGCCTCGGTAGAACATGAACATTGGAACACATCTTGGCGGCTCCTGATGACGTATCTCCTAGATAATCGGGGGGGGGGGGGGGGGGGGGCAAGACATCAAGGCGAGGTTCCTTGGCATTGAGAAACACCCTTGGACCCGCTCCTATGTATTTTAGACCTGATTTTTATGGTTATATGTTACGTACCCACCAATATTTTTCAACAACTGGGCATTATTTAATTCATTTTCAACAACATTTTGATGGATATTTCCAGAAATTAATGGTGAAAACTGCACATTGTCTCTTTAAAGTCAACTTTATTTATACATTTGCAGTGCTGTCTAGTAGGAATGAATGCCTTGCAAGTCGTTCTCTGGGGAAAGAAGCTCTAATGTGCCTGTTTGAGATTGGAGGAATCAGCTGGAGGAGAAAGTCGCTTCAGACGGCAGGATTTGGACTTTCATTTCCCTACATTTGGACATCTCGCCTCTGATTGGAGTTGGAAATGCTAACAGTTAGCTTCTGCTAGTCAAGACGTTCTTTGCTGCCTCCAGGCCGCTAAACCAACAACAGCCTTCCCTGTCATGAGTCAAAACTATCAACTTATAAATACTGGACAATTAATTTCCATAGACTCCAATAACACATTTTGAGGCCAAATGGGAAGTGGCCACCACCGCCATTTTGACCGTGTCACAGGTTCCGTCAAGCCCAGACAATTCCACAAAAGGGAAGAGCGGTGGAGCTGAGGGTTGGGCTGTAAGGCTGGGATCAACTGACGACACCCGGTCGAACTAGCTACAAGCTAACCTGAAGCTAACCCAAAGCTAATGCAGAGGTGGGAGCTAAGCTAACGGAGGTAGCAACCTAGCTACAACTGGAGTTAACTGTGCACACCAGAGCTTCTGAGTCAGTGATACGCCGGGCTGACCGCTGGGTAAAACCGGGTGGAACACAGAGGTCTCCCAAAAGCTGCTGAGAGGCCGGAAGCCCGCACAGCAGGCCGAAGCCGCGATCAGACAGAGATGCGCCGAGCTGCGGGAGGGGAGAACCGGATGGAAAACATCGGTCTCCCGAGAGCTCCACAAGCCGATAGTCGGAACCCAGCTCCACCAACATGTTATATTTCAACCCATTTTCTAAAGTGCAGCATTATGTTAAAGGCACTGGGTTTTACCCTATTACATTTAAATTTCATGGTTAAACAGTATATGTTAAAATCTAAGCTCAGCTCGGCAGTGACCTAAAATACATAAATATAATTTTACTTACCAAAGAAAATGAAGTGGAGACTCCTAAGCAATTAATGCCACAGCAAGTCATTTTGTCCAACAATTGCACAAAAAATATCCAAAACAGAATACACAAACACGGAGACTCAAAATCCCGGAACAGTTTCCAGGCCAGACCGAGGCTCTACTGAGGCCTTTCCACGGAGCTAGCTCTGCGGTCACGTGGGTCTGATGCTCATTAATTATACAGAATTTTAGGCTTTTAATACACTTAAACAGAAGAGTGAGAGAAAAAATTCACCCCCCTCAGAGTTGTCATGAGTGTAAACTAGATCATTTAAACAAAAAACATGTTTTGGTACCAGGCTGTAAACATGTTTATTTCTGCTGTGAAATTGGTATTTTTAACATGGGAGTCAATGAGGATTTGCTCGCTTCTGACACCAGCCCCCAGCGGATGAGGGTGGAACTGCAATTTTGGTACTTCCGGGATGGCCTCAATTTTTGAGCCGCATTGTGGGGGCTTGGTCAAAACGTGTGAATCCATGAATGTTAAGTGATAGTGTGACGTAGATCTGCCAGGCTTCTCTGAACTGAGTGTTTTTTCATCTATTTTCTGTCAGAAGCTAATGTAGGAGATAGGTGAAGGAGACTATTTTCATGTTCAGTGACTGATCATTTTTAAAAATAATGAGTAACAAATGGTTTCTCAGTGAAAGTAAGCAGACTGCAGCAGCTACTAGAGATCAGCTCACCTTTTAGGAAGCAGGCGCTCAGAGGTCAGGTACCCCGGTCTGTGGACCAACCTGTTGTACTCTCCAAACTTAGCCTGGACGGCGTAGGAGGCCAGCAGCACAGCGGTCTCTGGAGGACAGTAGACCTCATCAGACAGGATGTCCTCCTTCACCTGCAGGAAGAAGAGCCTCCTGGTGATGTCCTGGATCAGCTCCTCGTCCACATCTTCAGGGTAATACTTGGCCCTGAGTTTGAACTGCAGGGGCGTCTCTTTTTTTACATCCTGAGCCAACACCTACAGGAAAGCGTCAGAATGTAGATTAAAGCTCAAACAGAACTTTATGTCCTCCAACTGTTAAAACAAATACAACATCAATGCAAAAACAAAGCAGACTGACATTTTTGTGAAATAAAAATTAAGTTATTTAAATAAGACCAACAATGCAGAGTACTACTAATAATAATATTAATAATAAAATAATAAAGGTCAACCAATAATGCGTCAGAACATTAAGAATAGTTTTATTTTCTCAGTGAATTTGCAGAATGCAGACAGATAAATACACTGTGTGGAAACCAGGAATGTCACATTCATGCAAAACAATGATTTGAAGAAATAAAAATTTTAATATGAACAATTGCAAATAACCCACTTAATATACTTTAATCATGAACAATAACTGAGGCTGTTAACAAATGTGCATGCTAGTTTTGACACGCATCTCCATAGAGGTGTGTTTAGTAGAAACCCCCCTTCGAGACAACGTGACAGAAGGTAAATAAATGAGTTAAAACCCCAAACCTTCTTGTCAGGCTGCAGCCATGTGATGAATCCTCTGGTGTCGACAAACTGGAGCCCAAAGTACCAAATCTCCCTCAGACCGATGGTTTTAGCCACCTGAGAGGAGATTAAGGATTAGATTAAATCCAATATAATCACAAAAAAACTAGATGACCTGAAGACTTTCATGTCATAATGAACGTTAGCTGTTTGGGTTTAGCTGCTGTTATTCAACACTTCTGGTTCTGGTTGAACAACAGCAGCTCTGAGAGATGCAGACCTGCTCAAAGAGCTGATTCCCTTTGGTGCTGGGGTGGAAGGAGAACTCCAGCTCTGCGTCCATCGATGTGACGCGGACGTTGACCTGCAGCAGAAACAGCTGTTACATGACGCCAGGCTGACCCACCGTTTCATTCATTTCACAAACGTTGCAGGTCTGAATGATCTTTTTTGTCAAATTCTGTCTTAGAAAAACCAAAATACTGAAGCGAATCGTTGGCAGAAGGCCTATCATGAAGAGCTGTGAAGTAGACTATCCATAAACTGTAATTGCTCATTATCTCATTAGACTTTAGACCAGCCAGAAGAGAACAAGGTTGCACATCTGCAGATAAAAATACTTGATGCTTGCAAACTGACACTTTAAGTCAAACCTTTCATGGCGAGACGAATCAACCCACAGGAACATAGCTGAAGGTGTTTTTAGAGTTGATCTCCAGAAAAAGAAAAGGTTTTACTAAGTGTGACTTTACAAACCTGAAGTGTGACCCCAGTCTGAGGACAGTTACAGAACTCAGCTGTTTTATGAACTTATTCATGAGCACGCCCGCTGCCATAAAGATAAACCTACTGAAACTGGGTCAGCAACAAGCAGCAGAACGCCCCTTCATGAAATCACCACAAGGTTCCACCTCCCATGTCCTCCTGTGTGAGGGAACATCTGGAAGTCTTCTCTTCTGCAAGCTGGTCCTTTTAGGGTTTTGTTCATTGTGGAACTTAAAGCCCACCCAAGAACAAAATAACACCAGAGTCTATTGTGCCTCGCGTTACTTTAAATAGTTTTTAACACTTTAAGTAAGCTATTGCCTTCAAACTGGTTTCAGTGGTTCTTGAGCCATAAACTTGAAATTCAGAACTTCACATTGGACGGGCCTCCGTAGCCCTCTGCTGACCAGAAACTGTTCTTAATTTTGTGGTTGGGTAAGAACACTAGTGGGAGGTCTCTATCTGTATTACAGCAATAGCTGTTCACCGTGCAGATAGCCAATTTAAAGGCTAGCAGCTTTTTCAGTTCGCCGACCGTCAATAATATGCACAAGAAGAAGAATTTAGCTTTTTTGTTGGCATCATGACAACATCTAGAAGTAACGGTAAGAGATTCATGTCTTTGGAGGTGAGCAAAGAGCTAAAACCAGAGTGAACATCGGTGCGGCCTACACTCATTTAAGGGAACTAAAGGAGGATATGAAATCATGGACTGATGGTGACCTAGCTTTGTTGCTACTGGACTTGTAATATTTTTTTATCCAACAGTGTGGAATTTTTTTTACTTTGTGGCTTGTTTAATGTCAGTTGTCTTGTGTTAACGTTAGCTTGTTGTTAGCACTAGCTACAGCAGCAGGGTTGCTTATGACAATCGTGATTCTACTTTCAACCAGTAGGATGGAGAAGTGAAAAACGTATTTATTGTTGTTTTAATGTAAAAAAGCATAACCTTTTCAAGGAATGGTTCATATCTTAGTATGTGGGCTACAGCAGCTACAGCTCCACAGCTAACATTGGCAGCAAAGGAAGCAGAATTCTACAAGAATAACCACTAATATGACATTCATGATGGTCTTACCAAATGAGGTTTGCATGAACTCATATTAATACATATTTTCCAGATTTAAGATGACAGGAAGTTGACTCCTTTGTGACTAGCCATTAGCTCATCAGTCTTATCAGAGTTAGTCTCTGTTTCTCCAAACTGAGGCCTGTCAGAAGCCGGCTGGAACAAACAGCACAGATATGAACTCTCCCTTTAACTCCATAGTGTTTGAGCACAGAACTGATATATCAAGCACAAGCAGATCTTATCGGGTTCAATTGGGACTGATGAACATTGACAGGTTTTTAGGATTAACACAAGAGATTCCTTTGTTTTGATTATATGGAAAACTACTGACAGAAAATGAAGAATTGAACCGCAGTCAGGAGTTTCTTCTAGAACGTGTCCTCACTCCAGTTTCCCCAGAGGTAATCGCTATGATAATTACATTATTAGCACGACGCTGCAGACATGAAGAAGCGCTTTTATAGTGACTCACTGTCAGGAATGTGAGCTGCATGGGTCAAACTCTACTTTTGGTTAATGAGTAAATATCAAGAAGGATCACTGCCTTTTAGAAAAGATCACAGTTCTTTGAAACACATGTTTAATACAAGATCAGAACCATGTTTATGTAACAGTGCATCAAACAGTTCCAGATCATCATCAGCAAACAGGAAACCGTACAGGTGAGTTCATAAACGGTCTCTGAACCAGGAAGAAGGCCTTCAGTGATAGATTCAGTCATTACAATAGAAAAGCAGAATCATACCGTTTTGGGCATCTTGGCTGTGGTTTGTTGAAGGGATGGCTGAAAACGGAGTGTTTCCCAGGCTGAGCGAGGCTGCAGTGGCTGACTCCCAGCAGGACCTCCACCTGATAAGGACTGCTGCTCCGCTCTGCCTGGCAGGCTCAAGGGCAGGGCTGGTGTCCTTTGAACTCAGTGGCAGATAGCTCAGCCTGACGTGGGGCTTGGTCACTATCACAGCCAAGTAACAGATTTACCTCTGGCTAGTATGGCGGGGCAAGACTCACAGCTCCACCCAAAGACAATCACCTGTCTCAGCACCTGAACGCCTGCGACCTTTGATCGGAGAACACGAGGCTGTGAGGGCCTGGGTGTGCTATTTATGCTGCCTGAGTGGAAGTGAAATGACTCATAGGATGTTGGAATAAGAAACAGTTTTGTGTAACAGAGAGGGCTTGTTCTAAGGGCTTGTTGCTTAAAAAAAAGTGAAAATTTACTTTCTTTTACTCAGGATTTCTCAAAGTCACAATAAAAATAATCTGTTTTTCATTTGGTAATGCAGAAAGTTTAGCAACAGCATTTCTCACTAAACCAAAATCCTTTATGATAAATGGCTTGTATGTTTAAAGCGCATTCTTAGGGTTCTACAGCCCCCCCAAAGCGCCCATTCACACACTTTGGGGATACGATGAAGTCACAGCTGCCCTGGGGTGCACTGACAGAGGTGAGGCCTGCTGAGCATGGGTGCCGTTTCTTTATACTGATGTAATCAGAGTTCATAAATAAATCGCTCCCATTTAGGGACTGGTGGAGTCTATCTTGGGAGATGGTCATGTAAATTATGGACACACATTTTTGGGAGTTGAAGTTTTAGAAAGTTTGTGATTATAGATGCAAACTCTGGGTCAAGTGGCTTTCTCTGGACAAAGAAAGAATATAGAAAAATAAAGTTTATGTTTATGTATTTAGCAGACGCTTTTGTCCAAAGCGACTTACAAGTGATAAAGAGTGATGAAGTGATTAAAGTGACATAAAATAAATGATAGGAACTCTTTTCTGCAACAGGTGACCTTTATCATGTCCTACTTGTCTCTATGGGCTCCCCAATCACTGGTCCTGGGACCAGCATTAGTCCTTAGAGCGTGTTGTAAATGGGCTGCAAAGAAAGTCTAAAAACTAAGATAACAGCTGGTGATCAAAATCCACCAGGTGGCACTAAGAAGTCAGTAACGGAGAGGATTTTCAGTCAAAGCTGCAAATATTGGTGGAGAATCGGTGCATGGCCTTCATAAATCACACACAATTCTCTATTTTAAATGAAAAAAATAATAGTTTGACCTAATTAAACATTCTTGTTTTTCTTGCTTTAGTATTGTTGAACAGGGTGGAAATGATTCAATCAGGGTTAGGGTTAGTACGTCCCACTTTAGGAGTCAGTAGCTCCCAAGTCACTAACCTTACCGCACCTCGCTGGTGTTTCAGGTAGGAAACACGGACCCAGTCCCAATACTTCCACTGTTCCTTATGGTCTTCAGTGAAGTGCACTTGGGGAAAGTCTGAGTAGGGATCAAGTGTGCAGTACACAAGTGTGCAAATAATTACCAAATTGGGACAGCAATTGTAACATTCAGTACTGTTCACATAAAATAGTAGTCTAAAACATTCAGAGCATGAATAAATATCATCAATCATCTTAAACTAATTTTGTTTGAAAATACGTGTTTTCAGAAAAGGCACTTGAGCAATTGTTCAGCCTTCTTCTCAATATTCTCGCGCAGCAATGGATTGTGGGTAATACCCTTTGCCCAAGGGCGTGGCCAACTTCCTCCCTTGAGGACTGGGACACTCAAAGCACTCACACCCTTGGACTAGAATGCGCAATTGAAGGATGGAAGTGTGAGTATTGGGACTAGGCCTTAGTTATTGCTCCTCCCGCCATTGTTGTTTACGTTTGTGTTGCTGGCTGCTTGCCAAGCTGGCAACCTGAAAACTTGCGTAATACACACTATGTATTATGCGAGTTTTCCTTCTAAATATTGGACTGATGGCATACATGACACTACTCACTGACACGCAAGAAAGCAACATAAGGGCTGCTGGGGGTGTGTGCGGGGGTGGACGTCCTACCTTATTTCCCAGGATGCTTAGCTGCAGCTTTCTGAATTCTGCGTTGAGCTGTGAGACAGAAGTGTGTTACTGACTGACCGCACGGGCGTCAGTGAAAGGTGCATCCTGTTGTTGAACTCTGGTTTCATTCAAGATTTCAACCCATAACCTGTGACAGTATCTCTGATGAAAATAACAGAAATAGTGAGGAACAGTAACTTTAATCTGATTACTGGACTGGAAGTTGTAGCTTTAAGATTATTTGTGACTGGAAAAGTGGTTGGATTACAGCAACGTGTTACCATCTTCATGCCGACAACTAAATCAGAGCTAATTAGGTTTTTAAAGCATTTTATTTTACAACAAAACTGTAAAAGACCCATTCAGCTCCAAACATCCAGCTGCAGCAGAGGACTCGACCACAGGAGTCGCTCTTTGGTTCCAACAATAAAACAGGTGAGATGAATGTAAGGTTTCCATCACAACTACACTCAATAACTGATAAAATACATTCAAAACTCATCTTTGATTTGAAAATGCGGCTGGTTTTCTGGTTTGAAGTCTTTGTTGGGGCTTCCATCTTGGTTGAGGATGCGTGCTGCTGTGTAACCTACGATGGGGTATTTGGCTTTGTAGGTGCTCTCAAATATTTGATCCAAAGACTTCAGCTGCTCGTCGGTGAGGTCGGCCTGCGGGTGAGACAACAGAAGCTCCTCATTTATCTGGACACTAGAGGCCAGGGTCTGCTGGGCTGGATCAGGACAGGCCAGTCCAACAAAACATGCTGGATGGTGGCCCTCATGGAAGGGATCTGCCAACCCTTGCTCTAAACTCTCAGGTAGAATGGTTTGTGACAAGATCAGATGTAACCTCTCACACTTTAGGTTTATAAGGGATCTGAGGTCAACAGAAGCAGCCAAGATGAGCACTTATATCATTACATAAATGTTAACCAGCTGGTCTCAGGCCAGTTGGTGAACCCTGCAGAACTAGGAGTGCAGAGAGAGCAAACTGTTCTGTCCGACTCACGAAATGTCTTCTGGGTCAACGAGTTTTCCCTGCATTAGACTGGACCTCCACCCCTGAAGCCAAAACACAGCTGGACACCTATAGGTGGTGCAGGTAAACAGCTGGATCATCAATGCTCAGGTCTCCAATTATTTCAAAGGGTTATTCTTATTTCTATCACCTTTTATTCTGTATTCTATACTTTTAGCTCATATATTTATAAACAACGGTCTTTGAATAATTATACCTTTAGGGTTTGTATTGTATTTGAAATGACATAATAAACTGTATTTTAATTTAAAGTGCCCAAGGACAGCAGAAGAAACGCGCTCTTTCAGGATAATTTTGTTATTTATTTGGCGTTCCCTGTGAACTAAACTGACATGAGGATTATTTTATACGCAATTAGATTTAATTCCAAATATTTAGATATATTTGATTATTAACGTTTCATTGCATCATTATTCTTTAAAGAATTAGACATAATCCTGGAATGTCTTTAATAAAAGTGGTGAAAATGTGCATTTTTATCGCTCTGGTGAGCTCCAACTAATGCTTTGATGTGTTCCTTTAAATGGGCTCCATTTAATCAGCTGATGCTGCTTCGTGTAAAAAAGGAACAAGGAGAAGCTCCAGGAGAACAGGGGTCTCTGATAACTCACAGTATCAGAGGTCAGGTCTGAGGGGTCCAGGGACATCTTAGCCACAGCTCGAGTGGAGTCCTTCCCAACCAGAGCGTTGTATGGTGCACCTTTACCATAAAACTCTGCAGACACAGAAGTTACAGACATCAGTTTGACCTGAAACCGACTAGGCCCGGCTGGATGCTGGTTTCTGTACCTTTTCCTCTGGTGACGTCAAACACAACACCTTTGACTGCCATGTAGATGGGCTGTCCCTCCTACAGCAGGAAGAGAGACCGCACACAGCATGAACGGACACACCTCCTACACAGACACACCTGTAGACGCCTTACCTGCGTGCCGTCAAACCTCTCCAGCTCCTCCTCGGTAAACAACCGGACTGGTTTGGATTTCAGGTTCACATCTTCTGCTAAAGTCACAGAAAACACAACCAACAGGACACAGACTCGCGCTGTTGACATGCTGCTCGGACGGGCTGGACGCGGAAACTTCCTATTCTGACGCGCCCTCATCCTGGTGCTGCGATTAAATGCCCTCGGAAATCCTAACGTCAAACCAGCACATGAATATTGATTCACTGCTCATCTTAAATCTTTTCATTTGTTACATCAATATAATTTAGTTCTTATTAACATTTAGTTCAAAGAAAAAATATATAAAATTAGTTTATTCAAGTCACCTTCATAGGTCAGGGACTTCTCTATATACACGAGTTGGAGACATAGAATAATAGTCATAAAAATCCATACAGCTGCAGAATAAAGTAATAAAGCAATGATAATAAGCTGCTGCAGCAACAAAAACATCAGGATATCTTAAAGGATTTTGTTGCAAAATAGATCAGACAAACTAAACAGAAAGCTTGACGATGAGTCATGCAAAGGTAGTCAGAGAACATAGTGTCTAATAATGCCTACAGAATGGTTTAGCTGCTCTGTTACGCCTATAGTTGCACATGTCTGTTGTAAGTTGTACATGTATTTTTATAGACTTAAAATATCTCATGGTCAAAGTCATTCATTATTCATTACCATTGACTTAATTTCTGATCAGTTCATTTGAATCTCAGAAATTTGTTTCTCTTGGGTCATTCAACACATCTTTCATAAGCAGCAAAGGAATAGTTTAAATCAAAAACTGACATTTTTCCTTGTCCACGAACTCACCATTGTTAATTATTTTCAATGCTTGTAAAGTCAGAGGACCTTCTTGAAGACGAGAGGTCTCATCTTAAGTGGTTTTATCCTCGTAAAATATAAGTCAATAAATAAACTTCTTTAAACATCTTTGATACATTCTTCCTGTGTCTAGTTTCTAATTCCATTTTTGGTTCTTTTTAAAACACAGGAAAGGTTTCTCTTTATCAGTTTCATTAACATCCTCAGAGCTCTGAGGATGTTTTGCAGTCGGCAAACGAAACTGTCAGCATGGTAAAGAGAAACCTTTTCTGTGTTTTAAAAAAGAACCAAAAATGGAAATAAACTTCTATATGAGGCTAGTGGTATCAGAACCTCCATAGGCAGTTGCATTTCCAACATCAGAAATCTCACGTCGATCAGAAACTTCAAGTTAATTTCTAGTTTTTCTGCTGAATTAAAACAGACCGGTCAGAACGGAACACACACACACACACACACACACACACAGAGTACTGTTGTAGTCAATACCAAACTATCCAAGACCCAGACAGGATTTAGAGATCAAGACTGAAACAAGGCCAAGACCATGTAATATGTGTCAAAGGAATATTGTAATAAAACAAAAATGTATTTGTTATTTTTATTATAGTTAACATTATTATTATTATTATTATTATTATTATTATTATTATTGTTATTATTATTATTATTATTATTACTATTTGTTATATTTTTGAAAACCGGTCTTCCCATCATGAAATCACATCATTAATTAGTGAGGAACAGTTGAACTAAAACATGTGTAATTCCAATCCTGAACCTCATGGTAACAAAACACTGTACCTGCATAAATAGCTTGTAGCTGAAGACTTGTCAATACGTCACTCTTCAAGCTACACTCAAGTTTGATATTATTGTCCCTGACAACTTTAAAAACAAACTGACTCCCATGCTTGTGTCTTTTGGTGATGGGGCCCAAAATCTCTGGCAATGCCCCTGCACCCACCCACGATAAATCAGCACCTGCGTCAGCTGGGAAAATGATTACTGTACCAATAATTTTAAGTTGTTCTTTTCTCATCAGTATGGAAAAAAGCCCATCAGCAATGCTCTAGTTAAAAAACTAGTTAAAAAAACAGAGTCCTCCCAGTTCGAATAAAATGCCTTTGATACCATGAACATAAAAATATGGTCTCAAGGCCTCAAGGTCTCTAGGTCTACAACACTAGCTTACTGAAAATTACATATAGTGTGGTAAGAGTATGGATAAGTATGCCAAACATAAACAAAATCACTCACACTACTGCCACTACCACACATAATAATAATAATAATAATAATAATAATAATAATAATAATAATAATAATAATAATAATAATAATAATTTAAGATACAACAATTACAGAAATACAGTTAATATTTATTTTCTGGATCTTTATAAAACTTATGTATTTATTCGTTGTTTTTGTTGAGTAACAGCTGCTGTGGTTGTATCAGAATGTTTTTTTTAGTATGCTCGCGCTTTTGAGATCTTGGAACTGTAACTCTGAATATTCCTATAACACTTGAAAGCAGCACCGTTGCAACAAGAAAACTAGTCGAGGCAGCAGTTTTAAAATTGGATCGCAGCCGTTTTCCGGGCTGAGGATCTCCTTCAGTCAGATTTCATCACAGGACGGGCAGAACGAGCTTTTCCTAACAATGCGTCTAAAAGTTGTTTCCTGACGTCACAAAACGTTTTTGAGCTGACGGAAGCGCTGAGGAATGCCTGGAAAAGAGCGGACTCGGTCCCACCAGGAGGTACGTTTCCTTTAGTCGGTCCACCAGAGTGGAGCACATCATGTGACAGAGGGTGAAAAAAATAACTGGAACCATTAGAAATTCTACAGGGGCGATGCTAGCGTCAGAGGTTTAGCTGCCTGGCCATGCAAGGCAACTTGAAACATTTTGTACATTTTTACACAATTTAATTCCCATTTTTGTGAAAGAAATTAAAAACACTGTTTTCACAAAACAAACTGTGGTTTTAGATGTCACAATCTATGTGTAGCAGATTCAGTTATCAGTGTAGATTAACCTGGTCCAAGTTTGAAGAGTCTAGGATAGTGGTTCCCAAGCTTTTTATCAGGAGGACCCCCTTGCCCGTGTCCGAGACAAGCCAGCCCCCACCCCAACCCCTAACTGCACACGTTAAATTACAACTATTTTGCAGACATTGTATCATACAGAGTTTTGATTAAACTATTGGGTGTGTTATTGGGATTTTATAAATGTAATTTTTACAAATATAATGTTGGTGACCTCACAATCTCAGCACAGATAATATTTTTGATAAAAGCGTCTGCTTAAATACTTTCATTTTGGGGACCCCCTTGGTGGGTCAGGGACCCCAGGGTGGTAACCACTGGACCAGGTGTTTTATAACAGCATCAGATTAAAGATGCCCAGTGAGAGGAAAATTTGGTTGGATTTGCCATTTCCTATCTGGAACCAGAAATTGTAACTTCAGCTTGGTCTGAATTTCCACAACAGGATGACTAAAAAGAGCAGTAAAGTTTTTTTTAAATCAATCTGTAGTATCTATAGTACGTCTTGTAAATGTCTCTTTAGACATAAAACAAACAGTAAAAAAGAACCACAATTCAATGTGGTTATACCACTTACAAGTGCTGCAGGTTTTAAAATAGAGTTAACAGCACAGTTAGTCTAAATAATATGAACGCCAGAATGTTTTCACTTAATTAAAACTCAACAAATATATTTTATTTTTCTGTGTTCAACAAAATCTAATCAAGGATCTACAGCTGGAGCTATTAGCAGCTAGAAACTAAACATATATTAGATTTTTTAAACTTTATTAATAATAAGAGACTAATGACAGCTTCCAGTCAGGTTTTCGTAGAGCTCATTCCACTGAAACAGCTCTTCTTAGGGTTTCTAATGACCTTCTGACTCACAGTGATGCAGGGGAATGTTCTGTTCTGGTCCTGCTGGACCTGACTGCAGCCTTTGACACTGTTGACATCACCTGCTACTGGAGAGGCTGAGAGACTGGGTAGGCCTATCAGGATCTGCTCTGGAATGGTTCTCTTATATGTCTGAGCGTTCCATCTCCCAAGTTTCGGTCCTCCACCACCTCCCTTACCCATGGTGTCCCACAAGGTTCTGTGCTGGGGCCTCTACTCTTCCTCCTCTATCTGCTTCCTCTGCAGCACATCCTGAACTTCTTTAAAGGAATCTTCTACCATCTTTATGCAGATGACATCCAACTGTACATCTCCTTTAAGCCCCATGAGATGTCTAAGCTGCAGCTGTTACACACCTGCTTAGACTCTATTAAAACCTGGATGGCTGGGAGCTTTCTTCAGCTGAATGAAGATAAGACTGAGATCCTCATCTGTGCCCCAGACAAGCTGGTTCCCAAAGTCAGACTCTCTTGGTCAGCTTGCTTCCCACACCAAACCTTCTGTCAGGAATCTTGGCATGACCTTTGACCCAGCTCTCACCCTGGATTCTCATGTCAGTTCTCTTGTTCGCTCTTCCTTCTTCCATCTCAGGAACATTGTTAAGCTGAGTCCCATTCTGTCCCGCTCTGAACTTGAGACAGTTCTCCACACCTTCATCTCCTCACGCTTAGACTACTGTAACTCTCTTTTCACGTGTCTGAGCAGAACCTCCCTGAACCGTCTACAGGTGGTTCAGAATGCCTGTGCTCGGCTTCTGACCAAGTCCTCCAAATACACCCACATCACCCCGCTTCTCCTCCAGCTTCACTGGCTGTCAGTCAACTTCAGGGTTCATTTCAAGATCCTGGTTCTGGTCTATAGGGCCTTACATGGACAAGCACCATCTTACATTGGTGATCTTCTTAGACCCTACACCCCCAGCAGGTCCCTGAGGTCCAGTGATCAAAGCCTACTGGTTGTGCAGCACCAGGCTAAAGACCAAAGGTGACAGATCATCTGCTGCTGTGGCCCCCAGACTCTGGAACTCTCTCCCCCTGGGGCTGAGATCAGTGGACTCATTTAAAAAGCAGCTGAAAACCTTCATCATCACCCTCTCCTTATTCTGCTCTTTATACCTATTCCGCATTTCCTGGGATCCACTGATTTCCCTTTCCTATTTATTTTCTTTCTCCCTTTCCTCACATTTTTTATCCCAGTTTAATTTTTTTGTCATTTTAAACATATTTTTAATTATTAAAAAACATTTTTTATAACTTATTGTTGTTTGTTTTTGTGAAGCGCCTCGTGATTTTTATCTTGAGAGGCGCTTTATAAAAGATCGTTTTCCTTTTTTCTAAATATTTTTTTCTAAATGGCTAGAAAGACTGAAGGTGCAGTACCAGATTTCAGACACTGGAGGGCAGAAATTCCCATATTGTCCTTTGTCTAAATGCTGTTGGAAGTCAAAAGTGTTGTTTTATTGCTTGCTAGCAGAGGGCGCAAATTCCCCATTCTTTCAAGGCAACAAGACAAAGTGTTTGAAAAATTATAATACGTGTTTCTAACAAGTAAAACTTGCCTATTTAGACAAAAAAAAAAACAGTAAAAAAGAACCACAATTTTATTTGGTTACTTAAAATAGATAATTAAATAAATAAATTATTCTCAAACTTTAGGGGTGCTGAGATTTAATTCAGGAGTGCTTCAACACCCCCAGAGTCAGGCTAGAAACGCCTGAGCCGAATGCACATTTTGGACCAATCTACAGGTCAACAATAACACTGTAGTACAGGTAAATAGTTTTTATATTTAATTTAAGCATAAAATGTTTATTTTATATCCATACCATCTAGACCTGGGTGTTGTGCAGGATGATGCTAGTTTTAAGATTCCTTAATAAAAACTAGAGCCAGTGCATCCACTTTAAAAAGGGAATCTGCAGCTTTTTACCCCTCCTGCATGTGACAGGTGAATACAGAAGTGTAAAAAAGAAGAAAAAAAACACGAATAACTTGTTAACAGTCCGTGGGAGAGATGAGGCGTTGCTCTGGGTAAAAAACACAACTACCTGATTCCAGCTAGGGTAGAGGAGCTGCTGCTGTTTGATATTAACCATCTTTGATATCATTTGTCATAAAATATACTCTTTTCCAAACGGAACAGTTGTTTGATGATGAGGAGGGGGAGGAAGATGACCCTCAGTCCAAGAACTTTTTAGATGATATTGATGAAGAGCTGGAGCCTGATGGGAAGCACAATGGCAGCATCTCAGCAGGTAACAGCAGCATTTCTCACAGGGGTTCTCCTGAAAAATGGCCCATCGATTCATGTCGGTCTATTTGATTTGTCTGTTGAAGAGGATGCCAGGGGGAGCACTCCACAGAGGAGATTCAGTAAAACGTGTGTGAAAAATGTCTTCACTGTGCTGCTCATCTTCATCTACCTGCTGCTGACCGCCGTGGCCGCCTTCCTGGCCTACCAGACCATCTCTGACTTCATGGTGAAACTCAGCCAGCCTGTCATGTCTGTCACCTACAAGGAGTTTGACTCCTTTTCACCCCCAGGTTGGTAAAGACCCAGGATGAGCCTTGAGTCTCATTCTACAAAAACACAAAAAAATAGCCACTAGATTCAAATGACCGTTGCGTTGTGCTAAAATAAGACTGAGCTGGAGTCTTTGTGAGCAGGCATTGCTCTGTTCCCGGGGAAGGCTCAGCTTCTGAGCTGCAAACATCACCACCACGACTACATCCCACCTTTAGTGCAGCCAGGCAAGCCTCAGGAGGGGCACTGTGAGATCATCCATGTCACTTACTTTGGTCCATTCACAAATGAAACAGAAGTAAGCTCATATGAAAGGATGTGTGTGATGTGTTTAGTAGACAACCAGCTGACATGATCTGTTCTCTCCCTCTGCGCTGTAGAAACACGCTTTGGTGGTCCGTGGCCCCGGGGATGTCAGAAACAAGGAGCTGATCTTCATGCAGTTCAGTCAGAATGAAACAGAGGAGGACTTCAGTGCTATTACCTACATGCTTTTTGCTAAGTTCAGCGATTTGACGGACAGGTTTGTGCAAACATCAGTACGTATCAGGTGTCGGGTTTGATATATGATCTGGTGAATGTGCCCAGATTGTCTACCATCCTAGTTCTCAAAGCTCTTGGGAACAGAGGACTTATTTACATTTTGAACTTGATTTGTGAGTTTGGTTCTCCAGTACTTGGGTCTGGAGAAGGTTTGTGTGACGTTCATTGTGGCACTTTGTAGGCGTCAGCGCCGTTACTGCCCAGGCCACTTTTATGGACGACCAGAGCAGGAACTTCATCCACATTCTTGAGTGATAGTCATTTCCAACAACGATTGGAAGCCACCGGGGCTGCTTCTAGTCTCTGATCCTGTTTGTGGTCTTCATGAGGTGGATCACAAAGTTGTAATTGTGGAGGGGAGGGGTCTGGTTTGTGAACTTCAGGATCTCATCTCTGCTTTTTGTCCATGATGTGGTTCTGTTTTTCTTGAAGACATGACCTTCGACATGCAGTGATGTGGTTCACAAATGACTGTGTAGTATCAGGGATTGTAGTCCTGTTCCTCCTAAACTGAGATGCTGGTTCTCAACCACTAAACTGTGGAATTTTTCCTCCAAATAGGGAGTGAGTTTCTTCATCAAGCAGAGGAGTTCAAGGATCTTGGTGTCTTGTTCCTGAGAGATGATGGAATGGTGGATAGATGGATCAGGGCATCAGGTCCTTCCACGTTCCAACCCTCTTACATGGTCATGGGGTTAGGATTGTGACCAAAATGATTCACCATCCAAGTGGCTGAAATGAGCTTCCCCTGTCGCATGACAAACCTTAGAGAAGGAGTGAGGAGCTCCTCATTGAAAGGAGTCTGCAGAAGTGGTTCAGGCCTGGTGTTAGGATGCCTCCTGGTTACCTCCTTGTGGAAGGTAGATCCTGATCCTCTGGAGGGATTGGTGTCCTCTCTAACTTGGGAACACCATAGCTTCTTCCAAAAGAGAAGGAAGAGCTCTAGGGAGATGGATGGATGGATGGGTAGGTGGATGAACTTGTAGGGTGGATGGATTGGATGGGTGGATGAACTTGTAGGGTGGATGGATGGATGGATGAACTTTTAGGGTGGATGGATGGATGGATGGATGTATGGATGGGTGGATGAACTTGTAGGGTGGATGAACTTGTAGGATGGATGGATGGATGGGTGGATGAACTTGTAGGGTGGATGGATGGATGGATGGATGGGTGGGTGGATGAACTTGTAGGGTGGATGGATGGGTGGATGAACTTGTAGGGTGGATGGATGGATGGATGGGTGGATGAACTTGTAGGATGGATGGATGGATGGGTGGATGAACTTGTAGGGTGGATGGATGGATGGGTGGATGAACTTGTAGGGTGGATGGATGGATGGGTGGATGAACTTGTAGGGTGGATGGATGGATGGATGGATGGATGGATGGATGGATGGGTGGATGAACTTGTAGGGTGGATGGATGGGTGGATGAACTTGTAGGGTGGATGAACTTGTAGGATGGATGGATGGATGGATGGGTGGATGAACTTGTAGGGTGGATGGATGGATGGGTGGATGAACTTGTAGGGTGGATGGGTGGATGAACTTGTAGGGTGGATGGATGGATGGATGGATGGGTGGATGAACTTGTAGGGTGGATGGATGGATGGATGGATGGATGGATGAACTTGTAGGATGGATGGATGGATGGGTGGATGAACTTGTAGGATGGATGGATGGATGGGTGGATGAACTTGTAGGATGGATGGATGGATGGGTGGATGAACTTGTAGGATGGATGGATGGGTGGATGAACTTGTAGGGTGGATGGATGGATGGATGGATGGATGGGTGGGTGGATGAACTTGTAGGGTGGATGGATGGATGGATGGATGGATGGATGGATGGATGGATGGGTGGATGAACTTGTAGGGTGGATGGATGGGTGGATGAACTTGTAGGGTGGATGGATGGATGGATGGATAGGTGGTTGGATGGAAGTGAACCACAGAGTCTTTGAAAACCTTTATTCACGTTTTAATGAACAAAGCTGGATAATCTAGTCTCACATGTGATTTATGTTTTCTGACCCTCAAGTGCAAATAAGACAGAGTTTATGAGGGCCTGTGAGAGGAATTACTCCATTTGGACCTTCTCTGGGGGTTTCAGAACCTGGGTCAAAATGTCTCTAGTGAGGACATCAGGGAAAATCAATGACGCTGTTGAGTTTCGCCAAGAGGTATTTACCACGAAACACTTCCTGATTTCAAAATAAAGTTGTTGTTTTATGCCTTAACTTTATTCTTTTAAATTTTAGTCCTCTGTGGTGAAATTCAATGACAAAAGGCCCGTGTCAGAACAAACCAACGAGCTCTTCTTTGTTGTGTTTGAGTGGCGGGATGCTTACATACAGGAAATCAGACTGGTAAGTCGTCCCAGACGATTCGCGCCCAGGAGAACTTGTTTGTACTTGTTCAAAACAACACCATTTCTTTCCAAACAGGTGGTGACTGCCAATCCCTGGAGCTCCTTAGCTATACTCTGTGGTGTGTTCATGGCTCTCTTCAAAGCTGCAAATTTTGCAAAGCTCACCATCACATGGATTATTAGGATGCGTAAGAGACATCTGAGGAATAAAGTAAAAGAACTGAGACCAATAACCTAAAACACAAAGCAGAGAGCAGCAGGATCCGAGCCCAACCAGGTCCAGCTGACTGGTTCTGTTCACACAAATACATTTCGTCTTGTTTTTATGTACATTTCACTCTAACTGAAACAGTTTGTAATGAGAATACATTTGGTTCATTTAAACAACAGCCATTTTTGTTTGGTACAGTTAAAGGTACAATATGTAAGAATGAGGTAAGAATGACATCTTGTGTTCAAATTTGGTTACTGCAGCCCATTTTTTGTAAGCAATATGTTACTTTTTCACCACCGTTCCATGAGTTTCATGGCTGTTGCCTGTTACAAATCAATGCCACAAAATTCTTGATGACAAACGAAGTCCTGGCAGTGGCAGTTACTGCTAGAACTCTTGGGTGTTTTAAGGTGGGGAGCACTTACTACACTTATTATGGTAACATACCTCTGGAATCAGCGAAATGCGCTTGTTTGCTGTATTACTGTTATAGTTATGAATGATAAATGACCCGCACTTGTATAGCGCTTTTCCGAGTCAGAGGACTCCAAAGCACTTTACACAAGAAAGAAAGAAAGAAAGAAAGAAAGAAAGAAAGAAAGAAAGAAAGAAAGAAAGAAAGAAAGAAAGAAAGAAAGAAAGAAAATGATCTTTTATATAGCATCTCTCAAAAGGCGCTTCACAAAAAATAATTTAAGTATAAGAAAGATTTCTAAAATTATTAAAACTATGTTTAAAATAAGAAAAAATAAAAATTGTGAATAAAAAAATGTAAGAAAACGGAGAGAGAAAACGAATGGGAAAGAGGGAAATCAATGGATCCCAGGAAAGACGGAATAAAAACAGAATAAGGAGAGGGTGATGAAGGTCACGCAAAAGCCATCCTGAACAGGTGAGTTTTCGGCAGCTTTTTAAAGGAGACCACTGAGCCCACTGATAGGGGGAGGGAGTTCCAGAGTCTGGGGTCTACAGCAGCAAATGATCTGTCACCTTTGGTCTGTAGCCCGGTGCGCTGCACAACCAGCTTTGGTCACTGGACCTCAGGGACCTGCTGGGGGTGTAGGGACTGAGAAGGGAATCACTGTGATATACTCATTATTCACTTCACACATACATTTCATTGTAATGTTGAGTTGTTGGTAATTGAAAAAGGAGCTTGAGATATTTTTAGAGCAGACTGCTTGCTTCAGATTCACTGGTAGCATTGTTAGCTCAATGTTAGCCTCTAGCCTTCTTCACCAGATATTAAGAATAAAACAAAAAGATGACGTAGCTTCTAAGGGGTACAAGAAATAACTTCTGGGTCGCTGTTTTTTACTGCCATCGGTTCTTTTGCCTGCCGGTGTCGAATAACAAATGCCACCGCTGCAGCGTTAGTTGGCACAGACTTGGCGACCCTGTGGGCTCACAGATTGTAAACATCAACTACATCCCTCTTTTGTTTTTGTTTTTTTAAAGGAGAAAAACTGACAACCTCTCCAACTGGCTGAGAGGGAAATCTGTTTCAATGTTACCTTCCTTTCAACATGATAGACATTAGACTGTTTTCTGATTATTTCACTATAGAATTCTTACATATTGCACCTTTAACAAAGAGAATGTTCTTTCAAGTTACTTTCTAACATTCTAACATTCCTGGGAAAAATGTTGCACACAAGTAAAATAATGAAAAACAAAACACTTTTAAAACTATTTTTATGTAAAACTGTGAAAATGTGGCCTTTAAAGGGAACTAGGTTTTAAACATGGCCTTGTTTTCATAATACCAAGTAAGGGAATGAATGTTAAAATAAATCGTGTGTTTATGGACATTTTAAAATTAAATATTACCAGTCTTTTAACAATTGTGTTTCAGAAAGCATTTTCATTCAAATGTACGTGTCTTATTTATTATATTATATTTTATTTATATCTTCATGCTGTCCTGAGGCACAACATTTATTCTTCCTTATCTCCAACTTGCATTGAATGAGAACAATTGAATCTGAGTACAAAGTAAGTAAACTCATCATTAGTTTTGATTAGAACATAACATGTTAGAGAACAGTCTTAATATGGTCATTACCTTGAAGAATAGATTATAGGTTTGATTTGTCAGGATGACTTGTTTACACTTATTTTGAATTACAATAACATAGATTTAATTATCAGAAATATTACTGATTATTATTGAATTATTGATATGGTGTAATGAACTAACTACCTATAACACATTTACATATCTTATAATAACATTTGGCTTTGCAGCTTGGCTAATATATATAAAACAATCCATAGTTTTCTTGTAAAAGCCAGAAAAATGTGCATCCTGATCATGTCGCTTGCCTTCTCATTCTGTCCCCTGGTCCACTCTGGAGTGGTGGTCATGGTGTGGCATCACCTGGTGGTTCATTCGTGTGCAACCAGTAGAAAAACATCCTCAGAAAATATTCTTGTTAATGCAAATGCCCTTAATTCTCGTTCGTTTATTAACACATGATGAAAACACAGGTTTTAGGAGAAGAAACTTCATCAGTTCATCACATTTGCACCGGAGCACATGTGGCGCTGGTTTCCAGTTTTTCTACGCTGCCAGTGACTGTGAACGCATCACCGGAAGTAGTTTTCTGATGGGGCGGGGACTACAGGTTCATGTTATTTACTGTTTTTTTAGCATCCCAGTGGACCAGTAAACAGTCCTGCACATATTTGGAAGTTGTAAAGGTACTTGAAAGTTGTCTTTTTGACAAATATGCAATGGATGAAATAGCACATTTTATGTACATCCCTGTCATGTTTTTAGAATATGGGAATTTATCGCATTTAACTGGGACAGCTGAAGTCCCAAGTTATTATTAGCGTGTTGACTGTAGCTGTAACCCATACCTCTCTTTCTACAATCACTGCTCCTAACCAACGTTCTTTAACAAGCTGCTTCAGAGGACAAACATTCTGTTGAAAGTCATGATGTGTATAATCACTGTCCTCTAGTTGTTCCTAGAGGGTCCCAGTTATTCCTGTTTAACCTAGCTTTAGCTAAGCTAATATCATGCTAGTTGCACTGCTGCTGGGAGATGCCAAACGATACTTATTATCATTGCCATTCAGCAAAGAGGTTAAAGATGCTTAACGGGATTATTATAACATTACATTTTTAATGTTAATGCCGCTTGTGTTGGAACTTCTGCCCCGGGATGAATGTTAGCAAGCTAAATGAAGTGTAATTTTAACTGTTTTTGTTATTCAGTAAATGTAGTTGCATAATAGTTCGCCTCATAAGACTTTTTCCCCCCATTTTCATTCAAGTTGGGGTTTGATTCCAGACAAACTGTTGTCTAAACTGGACATTAGAGACAGAGCTAACTGAGAATATAACAATCCATGAGCAGATGTTTACACTTCTTGATATCTCTCTCTCTCTCTCTCTCTCTCTCTCTCTCTCTCTCTCTCTCTCTCTCTCTCTCTCTCTCTCTCTCTCTCTCTCTCTCTCACACACACACACACACACACTGATATTGTGATATATTTTGCGGTGCAATCACCTTTCAGGGAAAAGTAATCATGTAAGTAAATTTTATTTATGCTGCACCTATCACAGACATAGAATCACAAAGTGCTTCACATAGATCAAAACAAAATAAAACTAAGTCAGAAAACCATAATGATGTCAAAATAGAAATAGATTTACATCAGAAAAAATAAAGTCATAAAATAATAAAAAATTTATTAAAAGATGAAAGATGATTACAAATTTGAGTAAAAAACAAGAAAATAAAATGTTTAGGTAAAAGCAGCTTTAAATAAAAGGGTCATCTTTAGCTGTTTTTAAAAGTGTCCAGACTGTCAGTGCTACATAAGGATAAGGGAAGATCATTCCAAAGTCGGGGTGCAACAGTCTGGAAGGAGCGATCACCTCGACTTTCTGTAAGCCAGATAAGCTGTTTTCTTTACATCACCTTAGATCTACGTGCAGGAGTTACACAAGTTAGTTTAAAAATGAGAGAACCTTTAAATTGGGGCTGGTATACTATCCTGAACGTGCCCAGACAGCTCTGTGACTGTCGCGGCTCGGTCCGATAATTGCTGAGCCGCGGACTGTAATCGGATCAGTGTCCAGGTGGAACTACGGCCCTATTTGAGCTGCGGTACCAAGGTGCGGGCTGAATAGCTGCTCAGGGCTTGCTGGTGTTGGCTGGAAGAGTCTGAGTTGTTGTTTAAAATATGGAACATCCACAGAGACATGGTGGTACTTTAGAAGTTGCTTAATTTGACCTGATTGATCTTACGCTCCCCCTCCCTCTCCCCAGTGATGGGCTGAGATCCACCCCCATTCAAAATGATCAGAAACAGGAAGTGCCTCCTCTGTGAAACTGTCTGCATTTCCAAACAGGTAATCAACCCTGAAGTTTTTTACATCCAAGCAACAGTGTATATATAGAGTTTGGAGCTCTTATCAGACAAACCAGATATAAATAACTAAACTGCTTTTAAATCCAAGTATAAATGCCAGTTTTGTTCTGTGTTGACATTTCTTTGCATCATCTTCTGCCTGTGGTTTGATATGTTTATCATACCTGTTTGTGTGCACCAAAAGACCTCTTTTGCTGCATGAGGCTGCATTAAACTACAACGTCTGCTGTTGCTTTAAGTTAGACATCATTTCTGTATTTTGCAGGAAATGGACGAACACATGAGAAGTATGCTCCACCACCGTGAGCTGGAGAAGCTCAAAGGCCGGTGAGTTGTTGGAACTGGGAGATGAATTGTTTGATTACACCTACACCTCAGAGCTCTGCTGGAAATGCTTGTAGATTACCATCCATCCACCCGTCCATTATCGTCCGCTTATCTGGGTTCAGGTCACAGGAGCAGCAGCCTAAGCAGAGAGGCCCAGACCTCCCTCTCTCCAGCCACTTGGGCCAGCTTTTCCAGGGAATCCTAAGGTGTTCCCTGGCCAGCCGAGAAACATAGTCCCTCCAGCATGTTCTGGATCTTTCTTTGGTTCTCCTTCTGGTTGGACGTTCCTGGAAAACTTTACCAGGGAGGCGTCCAGGAGGCATCCTCACCAGATGCCTGAACCAAATCTGGGGCAGCAGTAGCTCAACAGGTTGAGCGGGTTGTCCAGTAATCAGAAGGTTGCAGATTCGATCCCGGCTCTGGACAGAGAATTCTGCTGTTGTGTCCTTGGGCAAGACAGTTAACCCACCTTGCCTGCTGGTGGTGGTCGGAGGGACCGGTGGCGCTTGTGCTCGGCAGCCTCACCTCTGTCAGTGCGCCCCAGGGCAGCTGTGGCTACATCATAGCTCATCACCATCAGTGTGTGAATGTGTTCAGTGTGTGAATGTGTGTGTGTGAATGGATGAATGATACACTGTAGTGTAAAGCACTTTGGAGTCTTTACTCTGAGAGGCGCTATACAAGTGATAAATGATAAATGACCCGCACTTGTATAGTGCGGGTCATTTATCTACTCTTAAGCCTTTCCCAGGTTGCTGAGCTTCTCACCCTATCTCAAAGGGAGAGCCTAGACACCCTGCAGAGAAAACGAATTTTGGCCACTTGTATCAGTGATCTCGTTCTTTTGGTCACTATCCAAAGCTCGTGACCATAGGTGAGGGTAGGAACGTACATCGACCGGTAAATCAAGAGCTTCATAATCTGGCTCAGCTCTCTCTCCACCATGACAGACCAGTACAACGCCAGCATCACTGCAGACACAGCACCTATTGAACTCACGCTCCATCTTTCCCTCACACATGCATAAGACCCCGAGATACTTCGACTTCTCCACTTGAGGCAGCTCCTCATTCCTTTTCTTAAGACCATTGTCTCGGAGTTAGAGGAGCTGATTCTAATCCCAGCTGCCTCTCACACTCGACTGCGAACCGCTCCAGCAAAAGCTGGAGCTCATGTTTTGATGAAGCTAACAGGACCACATCATCTGCAAAAAGCAGAGACGCAATCCTTAGGCCACCACATTGCCTCCCCTCAACACCATAGCTGTGCCTAGAAATCCTGTCCATAAAAGTTATGAACAGATTCTGTGACAAAGGGCAGCCTTGGCAGAGTCCAACTCTCACAGGAAATGAGCTCGACTTACTGCCGGTAATGCAGACCCAAACTCTGACACCGGTCATACGGGGACCTAGCAGCCTGTATCAGAGGGCCTGGTACCCCATACTCCTGGAGAACCCCCCCAAAGGGCCCCCTGAGGGATGCTGTTGAATCCACAAAACATATTTATATTGGTTGTGCGAACTCCCACGCACTCTCCAGGACTCCCTTAAGGATATAGAGCTGGTCCAGAATCTGAGGTTCGACTACCCGTCGGACCCTCCTCTCCAGAACCCCTGAATAGACCTTACCAAGGAGGCTCAGGAGTGTGATCCCTCTGTAGTTGGAACACAACCTGCGGTCCTTCTTTTTAAATAGGGGGATCACCACCTCAGTCAGCCAGTCCAGTGGAACTGCCCCCGATGTCCACGCGATATTGCAGGGCCGCGTCAGCCAACACAGCCACACAACAACCAGAGCCTTAAGGAGCTCTGGGCAGAGCTCATCCACCCCCGCAACCTTGCCACCAAGGAGCTTTATGACCAATAATGAAGCACCACTTGGATTCAGATCAGGAGGGCTGTTCCTCCCTACCACACCTCTCCAGATCTTACTGTTGTTGCCCACGTGAGCATTGAAGTCCCCAGAAGAACGATGGAGTCACCAGAAGGAGTACTCTCCAGCACCCCCCTCTAAGGACTCCAAGAAGAGCGGGTAGCCTGACCTGCAGTTTAGTGCATGAGCATCAACAACAGTCTGGACCCGTCCCCCCACACGTAGGCGGAGGGAGGCCCCCATCTCGTTCACCGGGGTAAACCCCAACACACAGACATCAAGATGGGGGCAACAAGTATGCCCACCGTTGCTTGGCACCTCTCAATAGGGAAAGCTCCAGAGTGGTATAAAATCCAATCCCTCTCAAGGAAACCTTCTCTGGAGCCAAAGTTGTGTGTTGAGGTGAGTCCGACTATCTAGCCGGACCCTCTCAACCTCTCACACCAACTCCCCACCAAAGAGATGACATTCCACGTACCGAGAGCTAGCTTTTGTTGCCGAGGATCAGAACACCAAGGTCCCTGCCCATCACACAATGGACCAGACCCCTTTGGCCCCTCCCATGAGTGATGAGCCCATGGAAGGGGGGGGGGGGGGTCTTTTTGGGCTGTGCCTGGCTGTACTCCATGAGTGAAAGCCTGGCCACCAAGCTCCCGCTAACATGCCCCACTTCCAGGTCTGTCTCCAGAGGGGGGTTGGTGACCTGCGTCCAGGTGCAGAACACTGTATCCATTGATATTTGTCATCATACCATTAAGTTCAAACTCATTTAACACATTTTCGTTTGTCTGAAGAGTACTGTCCGGTTCTAGTTTTTTCCGAAGCACATGAGCGCACGTGCCTGCAGAATCCAGGCCAGTGGGTATGCGGTCAGCTGTCTCCACTACAGCTCATATATTTAGACACAATCTCTATGAAACAGCAGGCATGACCGTTGGAAAGCAAACGGCTGGCTTAGATGATATGAAGGCGTGTGATCCGCTGCTGAGATGGAAGAATGTTGCTCGGGTCCTGATGTGCAAACATGGTGGAATGTGTTTCATAAAACACTAAACTGGATGTGTTACATCTTTACTTCCATAAAGCAGACTGCACCAAGGAATGCTATTTACCCAAAAGCAGCAGATGTAGTTAAAATGTAGTTATCAGATGATTTCATTTATTAAGGGAACAACGTTTTCCGAACCACCCTGGTCCAATCTAACGGACTGGGCCCTAAACACTCTTGGTGCTTGTGATGACTACTGCGGTAAATGTTTTCACCGCCCTGTAGCCCTATCGTCATGACGCCCGCCAGCTGCACGAGAGGTCAGAGAATGGTAGCATTCATGGCTAAGGTTTGAAACAGAAACTGAGAAGGAGCCAGAGGGCTACATACTTGAGAGAGGTTTGAGGAGGAGCAGCTGCACTCGGTTTCTGTTACACAGGCGGGTGGGTCACAAAGCTGGCCGACTTGTTCTAATAACACATGTTGTGTCGGGGGCGGGGCCCTGGCTCTGCAGTAAACGCCCAAATACAGAAACTGCTTTCTGTAGGGAGTCAGAGCGCAGAGGACACCATCATGAAGGCCAACTGAGCCGAGGCCTCTCCTCCCTGCACTGTGCCGCGCCGCTGGACCTAAACAGCAGGAGTAGCGTGCTGCCAGGGTCCAGCCGGGCTGCTCCTCCTGCCCTCACCCTGCTAAAGAAAGACTAGACAAGATCAGGATGATGAGATTTTATTTTTTTTAACAAAGAAAATTCTAAGCTAGCTACCTCCTGATCTGTTATTTGCTGTAGGGATTGTTGAGTATTCTCCTTTCCTGAGCGGATCTAGGCTTTACGTTGAGAGAAAGTAGAACCGGGGTGTGTTGACTCTGCAGGCAGAGAAAGCAAACAAGACCAGAACCATGCCAGAAGGAACCATTGGACGTCCCCTCTCACCATCTCTCCCCAGGGACTGTGGACATGAGTGCCGGGTGTGCACGGTGAAGATGGTGAGCCTGACTGACTACGCCAGCCACATTTCCAGTCCCACACACAAGCAGAACGTGGAGGCTGCCGACAAACTGGTTTCTGTGGGCAACCAGGAAGAAGACTTCTTGGACCAGGAGTTGGTGGACCTGATAGACAAAAGAAACAAACAGATAAGGTTAGTTGTTGTTTAATGGAAGTGTTTGTCTTAATAACACACCTGTCGTTAACCCGTTAACCTGTAAACATGTTTCTACGCTCAAGTCTGAGTCCCCGTGGGCCATGTATAGTCACATTCTGCTCACAGGCCTCTTTTAGACTCCGCTCCACGCTGAGCTGTGTCTGGAGTCGGATGTCAGCCTGCAGACTAAAAAAAACATGGCTGCAGATGCAGAGTTCACACAGATCCGATGTCTCCTAACAGAAACACAGAAAACATCAGTTTAGGGTGTCTGAATTATAAAATACACACAGAAACTTTCCCTTTTCATGTGTTTTGTTGTTTAAACCAGACTTCAGATTGTACTCGGGCCAGTTTGGCTTTCCACTTGTTTATTTGTGAACATCAGACTGCCTGTAGGAGTGGAGGCTGGGGCTCAGCGGAGTTTTTCTCTGTAATGTTGATGGAATGACAAGTCAGGAGGTCAGGTCAGCTGGCAGGAAATAGCTTCTGACGTGCGTCTGAAATCATCTGTTCTATTTTAGACCTGCAGGTCGAATCTCTTTTTAAAGAAGAGCTTTTAAAGCTGGTTTGACACAAAGTTGAAACGTAGTTTTGTTTTAAATGAATGTGTTCTTGTCAACAGCGTCACCACACCCTGGTGACAGAACCCCACTGGGTCGATGACGAGGATCACAGCCGTTTATATTTGATTTGAACAATTAGCCAGAGCTCACTCGGGTGTCACCAGGCTTACGTGGATGAACAGTTCAGTGTTTTCTTTTCTCTTTTGTAGGAGAGAGAAGGAAGCAGCTGCAGCTGCAAAGCTGGCAAAAGAAGAAGAAGAGCAACGGCAGAGAAAAGAGGATTTAGATAAGAGACTGAAGGAAGTTAAAGAGCGGTACCGCCTGGAGTGTGTGTGGCAGGCGCCTTCGCAGGGCTTCAGTGACTCCAGTCAGCCTTGGCACAGGAGCAGCTACTGTAACACAGGCACAGGGAATACAGGAGCGTGCGACCACAGCAGCATGCAGGAGAGGAGGAGCGCCACCTGGCACGCTCAGTATCCTCCCAACTTACAGAGAGTCGCTCCTGGAGATTTATCTGGTAGAAGAAATGAGAGCCAGGAGGGGCGGAGCAGTAAAACCTGGGGCCATGGCTGCTCTTCTAACTACCAGACAAATCGGCTGCCTTGGCTGAGCAGTGAAGGGAGTAGATATGGGCTCTACGGCCATAACAATGTCTCCACGTTCTCTCCGAGGCCCCAGCATCAGAGCTTCCTGAGACCTCCCCGGGGTCAAACGTCCACCAGTGTTCACGGCCAGACTTGTCACCAGTCTCAGAGTCCAGTGCAAGGTGGTGGGCTTCAGAACCAGGGAGCACCAACAGAAACAGCCCAGAACAGCAGTCGGAACGCTAAGGGATTAGGCAGCAATCCAAAGCTGGACAAAGGCTGTCGCTGGTCACCGTATCCAGTCACCTCAGGACCGCCTGGTGAGACTCACCCCAACACTTCAGAGAATCACCACAAAACTCCCAAAGTCCAGAAGCAGGAAGCCAGTGGCTGTAACAGGCAGCTCCAGCCTGAGCCTAAACCCGTTCATCATGGGGAGGAACAGAGAGGAAAGCCAAAGCCCAGTCTAGCAGACCAGAGCAGCGCCGCTAAAGGAACCAGTTCTCGGACTGGATCTAGTTCCTCCAGTCAGACGACAAACAAGCCACTGCTTCATGTAGATCAGAAGAATCTCACTGGTCCTGCTGCCCGAGGTGGAGCTCAGCACAGCAAGGCCTCTGGTCAAAAGCTGCCACGGTCCAAGTCACCCAGGAAACAAAGTGGACTCAAGGAATCCATCAAGTCCCATCCGTCAAGGAGGGAAAAGTTTCCCTCAGAGTCAGCCAGACCAATGGTTCCTGAGAGGGGGGAGTGTTTGAGCAGATCAGCTGACAATAGCGTGAAGATGATTCCTCACACAGAGGAGCAGCAGACAGATCAGGGAGGCAACCGAACTGAAGCGACTGAAAAAAGCTGTAGTCCGGCTGCAGTGAAACCATCTCCACCTGAAAGACACGCACCATCTTCAGACACCACCAAGTATGTTCAGTCACTGCAGGTCTGCACCTCCGCGGTGGAGAACGTGGAGCCTGCAGCCTCAGCCAGGAGCACCAAAGAGAGCAGAGATAAACCTGAGTGCCAGAGCAGCTCGGTGCTTCCGGACCAGGTCACAGAGGGCGACCCCTCTGGGCCAAACGCATCAGCTTTGTCCAAGCACGACCCCCCTCCGGGCCTAAAATGGGACCTCACCAAACATATAAGCTCCAAGGGCAAAACGGGAGCCCACGAGCCGAACCTGAACATAGCCAGACGGGTGCGTAACCTGAGTGAGTCGCGCAGGAGTGACACAGAAAAGGATTCTGGTCTGAAATCAACTGTAATGCAGCTCATCAGCTCCTCGGGGTCACGCCGCAACGTGAACTGGGACCAGGTGTACCAGGAAGTTAGGAAGAAGCAGGGAAAAGGCATGCCAAGGTGAGATTTGGATCCTAAATGTAACGTTAAATGTTAGGGATCGACTACTGCAGTACATACTCGTAAAAATACTCCAATACTACTTTATGTAGCGTGACTGCAGCAGGAGATATCAGCAGCCAGGAGATTTGATTAAAGCTCTCTAACTCCAAACCTTTAGTGACCGTTGTTAATGTTTGATATCAGTACTCCGTGTCGGACGTATTACTCAACTGTAAGTACTTGTACTTAACAGCATCCGTGTTGAACGTGTGCCTGTGCTTTCTTACGTGTTTTTCTTCCAGCTGACGTTTTGTGTTTTGTCCTTCAGGTTTGGGATAGAGATGGTGGCCAATGAGCAGGAGTCCCAGAGTCAGGAGGATGATGACATTCCCATCCTGGAGGGTTTCCAGTGGGAATCCCTGATGGATGTGTCTCTCCAGGCCAGCTCCAGAAAACGTTCCCTGTCCGAGAGCAGCCTGGCTTCTGCACCTGCTCACCTGCCGTTCGCCTCCCTCTCCTCAGAGGAGCCGACGCATGGAGACAGTCTCAGCTCAGGGCAGCCAAGGTCTACGGGTTCTCCCAGTTCCATATCTGCTCCAGAAAGATCACAGGCCACAGTCCCAAAGCAGCCAGACAAACCCATATCAGCAATGGTGAAAGTTCTGCAGCGTTCTGACTCGTTGCTCGGTGACAGCAGCTCAGGGGCGGAGCAGTTAGACGGTCAGGGAACAGGGAAGAGACGAAGGGCAGCAGGGGTGAGTCAGGGAGACACGCTCACGTTTTATTCTAGTGTTTATAAACTTTCTGGCAGAGTGAGCAGCTTTTTTATGAGCTTTTGTCCCGTTTGTAGGAGGCTCCCAGCACTGAGGCGTCCTGTGTGGAGCACAACAGCAAAAGAAGAAAAGTAAAATCCAAAAAAGGTTTGTGTCCAGATAAAAGATGAAAACATTCACGTGCACACACCCTCAGCTTCAGTCGTTCATGTTCATGGCGTTCTGATGCAGAGCGTCTACAGATCGACCAGCTGCTGGCGGTGTCTCTGAGGGAGGAGGAGCTGAGTCGGTCTCTGCAGAACGTTGACGCCAGCTTGATCCAGGCCCGGGCGGCGCTGGATGCTGCCTACGTAGAGGTGCAGCGGCTCATGATGGCCAAACAGCAGGTACGTCTGCAGACGCGATCTGTATTTGAAGGAAGTGATGTCACAAACACATTGGAGTAATTTGTGTAGTTTAACCCATCTGGGATTCATGCAGCTTTGTCTGATTTCAGATCTCCGTGAAGATGAGCTCACTGAGAAGTAAACGGATCGAGTTACTGAAGGGGATGCAAGGTAAGATTGGTGTAGATTTTAGCTCCTAAAGACCACAAAACAAGGTCATTCATAAAAGCTTGATTAAGTAGAAGATTAAAGATTAAAGGTCCCTTCTTCTTTCAACACATTTGCAGCGGCCTCTTAGCCTGGCAAGCCATCCTATATATGTGGATATATAGGATGGCCACAATCCATAAACAGATCAGAATCTACGGTTGTCTTTCAAACTGTCTCCTCAGGCTATCGGATAACGAACAACATGACGTACTCTCTGCTAATGGATGTCAGTCAACAGGGCTGTCAGTCACACCGTCGAAGAAGATTCAAATACATCTTAACCTTAATTTCCCTCTAGGATTAATAAAGTATTTTTAAATTGAATTATGTGCTCTTGACTCAGAAAAGCCCAAGTCTAAATAGTCCAAAGTTACTGCTGATGCAGTTTCAAATGAGCCGACGCCATCTTACCCACCAAACAGATAGAGCGCTGTGATTGGCTGCCAGGCCTGCTGAAACTCCTGTGGAGCATGGCTAGACCAACCTGCTGGGTCAAGTCCTTCTGCTTCGGTCTGTCTAGATTTCTAGGCGATTGGCCTCTAGTATAAAATAATGTCTTCTGATTGGATCTCTGAGAGAAACAAGCTGTCATGCTTCTGTTTCAGGAGGTAGAATTGAGCCACGGCAGAGTTGAAAAAAAAACATTTAATAAACGGTTTCTCTGTGAACTTGGAACGCGTTTCACAACTTGCAACGTTTATGGTTCATGCAACCTTTCTCTGCGGTGAGCCAATATTCTCCCAAACTGTAGGGGGCAGCATGGAGCTCTACGGCATGCATCCAACACTACACCATAGTAGAAGTAGAAATTACTGTTGTTTATAACAGTTGTCGATGAAAGTTTTAGAATTGGTGGAGTGTTCTTGTTTCCACCAGGATCACCGCTTTTCCGTTTGTTCCCCTTCCTTGCCTTCACATATCGGTCCCTCATGTTTTTCCAGCATTTTTTTAACAGCGTTCTCGTCTTTTCCGACAGTGCGAGCTATTTCTCTCCAAGAATTATTAACAACATGTTGATCACAGTGATCTTTGAGAGCTGAATCATACAAATGTCTGTGTTTACGAACCTCTGCCATACTAGTTCTTGCGAGTCCACCATGTTTTTCCGTGTTCGACCGTCCGCGTGGTTAGAAAATTTCCTAGGTGTGCGGTGCAGAATGTTTGGGCTGTGCGGAGGTCAGGTGGAGGGGCGTGGTTGTTAAAATTACGCAATTTTGCCGTGCGGAGCCGTGCAAACCTTTTTATTTTTATTTTATTTTTTTCCAAAACTTTATTGAACAAGGTGATAAGTATACAAACAAATTGCATACAAAATTGAACAAAGAACATGAAGCATATACCAGGGGGTGCACTACAGAAATGTTACACACATCCAAATAAATTTAGGTAGTGCAAATAATTATAGTTTTTAAAGCTTTTTAATTTAGTGATCAACTAATCAATTTTATGTAAGACAGAGTGTCACTGTAAAAGTGTTTGAAATTAGGTTTTTGGTTACTATATTTGCATTTGTGGAGATAGAATTTAGCTAGGATAATTAACACATTTATAACAAAGTATACATCTTCCTTTCTGTGCTTGCAAAAAAAAAAAAAAAATACAATATTTTCCAATTTTAAAATAAAGTCCTTGTAGAGCTGTCCGATAATAAATTTGCTAGTCTTCCAAAACGTTGTAGCATGTGAACAGATCCAGAAGAGGTGCTGAATGGTCTCAGGGTGGCTTCCACAAAAACAGCAGTTCACATCAATGTCCCTCTTAAACTTTGTCATATAGAGATTAGCTGGGTAACACTTATGTTGTATTTTGAATGAAACTTCTTTGACCTTATTTGTCACAAAATACTTATTAGGAATGATCCATACTCTTTTCCAACTGATGTCAGTGACAAAGGAATTCCAATAAAACATCACATATGGAACAGATAAGGATTCTCTCTGAAATAAAGCACGAATATTCCTATTCACGCTCGGTGAGACAAACTTTTCCTACGTATGTGTTCACAGGGTCGGGAGGAGAAATAGGCGGTACAACTGGTAGACCACCTTTAAAAAGCATTCTAACACCCATAGGTATTGCAGCAAACTGTATAGCTTATTCTTTGGGAGTTGCTGGAAATTTATATGTGTTTAGGAGTTCTGTGTAAGACATAAGCTGTCCATTAGTATTAAACAACTGATTCACAAAAATGATCTGTTTCTCAACCCAATTAGAGAAAAACAATGATTTATTTTTATACACTATGTTCCTGTTATTCCAGATCAAGTATGTATAGGGAGTAAAATTATGTTTATAAATCAGTGACCGGGCTAACAGAACTTGTTTGTGAAACATTGAAAGTTTTTCTGGAAGCTTTCCTACATTGTAGTCACAACCCAGGATAAAAGTTAGACCACCAAATTTAGAGAAGATATAGTGAGGAATAAAATTCCAAATGGAGAAGAAGTTGAAGAGCATTCGGTCAATTTCCCCACAAGTTCTGTTGTCCACATGCAGAGATATGGCAGCATAAGTCAGGCGAGACTAACCTTCTGCTTTGGAGAGCAACACTCGTCCTCTTAAACTTAAATCTCTTTGTAACCACTGATTTAACTTAGATCGAGTTTTTTTAATTATTGGAGAAAAATTGGAGGTAATTCTGTTTTTTTGATCTTTACAGATAATCAAGCTTAAATATGTTACTTCATGTTGAATAGCTATATTACAAATACCTTGATCATTACAATTTTTGATAGGTAACAACTGACATTTGTTTGAGTTTAAAGTTAATCCAGAAGCTTTTGAGAAGTCATCTAGAATTTTTAGGGCAATTGACACCTGACTAGCATTTTTAAGAAAAAATGTGGTGTCATCTGCCATGTCTGCTGTGTTTATACCTTTCATAGGACTATTAGCAATATTAAGAGGCGAGGATTTGGGTACAAAGTAGAAAAAGATAAGGGCTGACGGGGCACCCTTGGCGTACACCTCGATTCAGGCAAAAACGAGATGTGGTGCCATTTTTCATTCTGATAGAGCTATTTGTGCCAGAGTATAAAGTTTTGATGGCATTGCAGAAGAAATCACCTAAGCCAAATTTCTTGAGTGAGAGAAATATAAATTCATGCTAAATCGAGTCAAAATCTTTGTAGAAGTCAAGGAAAAGGATAGATGAATTATCAAGGATTAGGTCAGAGTAGTCCAGGATATCCAAGACGAGTCTAATATTATTGGAGATGTGCCTTTTTGTCATAAATCCTGATTGTGTCTCATCTATAACATCACCCAAAGCATCTTTAATTCTCCTGGCCAGCAATAGAGCTAGAATTTTATAATCATTATTTAGGAGGCTTACTGGCCTCCAATTATCTGTGGAAAGTAAGTCCTTCTTAGGTTTAGGAATTAGAGTAATGAGTCCTTGTGTGAGGGTGGGTGGAAGAGTGCCCTTTTCAATGCTTTCGTTATAAACCTGTAACAGAAATGGTGCTAACGGGGAAGAGAACATTTTATAAAATTCAGCTACCAAACCATCTGTGCCTGGAGACTTATTGTTCTTAAGAAGATTATTGGAGTCCAGTATCTCTTTTTCAGTGAACGAACTCGTCGTCGTCGTCGTCTTCCTCCGCTTATCCGGGTCCGGGTCGCGGGGGCAGCATCCCAACTAGGGAGCTCCAGGCCGTCCTCTCCCCGGCCTTGTCCACCAGCTCCTCCGGCAGGACCCCAAGGCGTTCCCGGACCAGATTGGAGATGTAACCTCTCCAACGTGTCCTGGGTCGACCCGGGGGCCTTCTGCCGGCAGGACATGCCCGAAACACCTCCCCGGGGAGGCGTCCAGGAGGCATCCTGACCAGATGCCCAAACCACCTCAACTGGCTCCTTTCGATCCGGAGGAGCAGCGGTTCTACTCCGAGTCCCTCCCGAATGTCCGAGCTCCTCACCCTATCTCTAAGGCTGAGCCCGGCCACCCTACGGAGGAAACTCATTTCGGCCGCTTGTATCCGCGATCTCGTTCTTTCGGTCATTACCCAAAGCTCATGACCATAGGTGAGGATTGGGACGTAGATCGACCGGTAAATCGAGAGCCTGGCTTTCTGGCTCAGCTCCCTCTTCCCCACGACAGATCGGCTCAGCGTCCGCATCACTGCAGACGCCGAACCAATCCGCCTGTCGATCTCCCGATCCCTCCTACCCTCACTCGTGAACAAGACCCCGAGATACTTAAACTCCTCCACTTGAGGTAGGACCTCTCCCCCGACCCAGAGGTGGCAAGCCACCCTTTTCCGGTCGAGAACCATGGTCTCAGATTTGGAGGTGCTGATCCTCATCCCAGCCGCTTCACATTCGGCCGCGAACCTACCCAGCAAGAGCTGAAGGTCAGAGCTGGATGAAGCTAGGAGGACCACATCATCCGCAAAAAGCAGAGACGAGATTCTCCTGCCAAACAAACTCGACACACTCCACACCACGGCTGCGTCTAGAAATTCTGTCCATAAAAGTGATGAACAGAACCGGTGACAAAAGGCAGCCCTGGTGGAGTCCAACCCTCACTGGGAACAGGTCCGACTTACTACCGGCTATGCGGACCAAACTCACGCTCCTCTGGTAAAGGGACTGAATGGCCCTTAACAGAAAGCCACCCACCCCATACTCCTGGAGCGTCCCCCACAGGGTGCCCCTGGGGACACGGTCATAAGCCTTCTCCAAATCCACAAAGCACATGTGGATTGGTTGGGCAAACTCCCATGCCCCCTCCATCACCCTTGCAAGGGTATAGAGCTGGTCCACAGTTCCACGGCCAGGACGAAAACCACATTGCTCCTCCTCTATCTGAGATTCAACTATCGATCGGACCCTCCTCTCCAGTACCTTGGAGTAGACCTTTCCAGGGAGGCTGAGGAGTGTGATCCCCCTATAGTTGGAACACACCCTCAGGTCACCCTTCTTAAAGATGGGGACCACCACCCCGGTCTGCCACTCCCTAG